TGTGTAAACTCTGTTGACACTTCAGTTTGGTCGTATTCTCGGAGTCTGGAGGTCTCTCAGCGCGTTCTCAGAATTACTTGTGTGCATTGTATTTATATGCATTATGTAACCGTGCTTGTTTTCTTGGGAACTATGAGAAAGTGTATGGCATTTCTGTATTCTCATTTCCTCAGAATCTGTCAGGTTTTCAATGTGACCCATCTGTTGGTGAGTGAATGGCAACTGTTTATTTCAGAATAAAGTATGTGCTAAAATGCAAACATACAACCTACAGAAGTACTGAGCTAAGTTTAATTAGCTGTAGAGTTCATTTAAACTTCAAACTACCAAGTTAACTCACCAGTCAGTGGAATTTATAATATATTTCTTGCTAGATGCTTGCTAGACAGGGGAAGTGATGATATTATATTTGTTGCTAAGTGATGAATCCTGATAACCTTTCCCTTCCTAAATCTGTAAGTGTCTCCTATGCACTTTCTGATGTAGGATAATTCTTTATTTATACCTCAGTTTTTGGGTAGAACTACTGCAAACTTGCTAAGCAGCCACGTATATAAATACATAATGTTGTGTTACTTGAAAACTTTTGGCAGATCACATTTACCAAATGAATTCTCAGTTTGTCATGATTGTAGCCGTGAGCAAAGTGCAACACAAATGAGACGTATCAGCGTACAGAAGGATGGTGCTTTATTTGTCACAAGGGACTAATGCTTTGGAAGTGGACATGAGCTGGAAAAATGCACAGATATATGTGTTGATTTTGTTTTGTTTTTCCTAAATGTGTTTATAACCAGAAGCAAAGTAAAGATTGACTGATTATTATCTCACCTCTTTAAACTTCATAAGCTTTGTAATCGTTACAGCTCTTTTAATGTGGAAGGAGGCAGACAGTTACTCAAGCAGATATGCTAAGGTTTCCTGCATTCTAATACTGTGAAATCAGGTGGTAGTGTAGGAAATTTGTATCACTAATCCTCAGTACAGTCATCAGAGCATTTGTAATTAAGGATATCAAGGGTAAGGAAAGAGAAGGGAAGATGAGAAATCATGCTGTTTTCATCTATTTGACTTGGAAAAATGAAAGTAAATATTAGGTCTCAAAACTAAGTGAGCAGATGTAGATCTTCCACTGAATGGCAAATTCCATTGTGTTGACAAGTACGAAGATACACGGGATGTATTTTAGGGATCGCTGTAATGTATTAAATCTGAGAGAGTACTTGGTAATAAAATTTTAGTTGCATATTGATCACCAAACCAGTATTGTATTTAGTATGTGGTAGGCCAACACTTGTCCCCAGTGTGATCACCATATGAAAATAAATATGACACTGATGAGAAATAATATGAAGCTATAGCACTTTCAAGAAATTTTATTCACTAGGGGCATTCTGGTGTCCTTAATCTCCACACTAGAGATGCTCTGGTTTCTTTTTTCATGTAGTGCTTTTTTTTTCTACAAACAGTCTGTGTTGTGGGTGTTCATATCTGGGATCTTGGCTCAGACAGTGTTTCATTACATCCTTTTGTTGACTACTCGTTTAATATAAGGAAAAATTCTATTCATTGGTCACAACTTTCTGCAGAAACTCAGTTATCAGCCTGGAATCAGACTTGGAATCAAACACTGCGCTGATCTTAACCTTAGCATGTGGTTGCACTGACACAAACTATAGGCTGGTAGCGTTATGTACACGGTGTTAAATAAAAATGGATATTCACCCATGGAAACCAGAAAGCAGCCAAATGGCATTACCAACCATAGTGTATATTTGGAATGTAAATTGTATTAAGTAATTGGCACAACTTTTATTTCTCATTTGCTTCATATGCAATGCTACTTGTTTAAATGTGATCATGTGTGGCAATGCCAGCCATTTAAATAGCAAAGGTGAATAGCAGTGTCACCTGGCTTGTCAAATAATCACTATTGCACTGTACTTGTTAACTGTTTGTTTGGGGTTTTTTCATTATTTCTTAGTTATTAAAAAGAGGCAGACACTTCAGTACCTTGATGTTCTTTCCTTGGTTTATCTATGTAAACCAATTTCAGGTTGCTCATAAATGATCCTGACTGACAGAATATACTTTCCCTCAGGTCAGTTCTTTTGTGGAAGATGCCAAAGCCTGTCTTTCTTTAAAGTACAAAAGATCGTGTTTGATGTGAACAGAAAACTGTTCTGGGACTGACTGTGCAGAGCAAGATTACATGGTGCAATTTTAATTACATTGTTCTCAGCAGTGCTACTTGTCTGATCTTAGTATGAGAGTCAAAATTCAAACCAAGGTTATTTGGTTCTGTAACTGTTAGTCAAGCATTGATATTGTTTGAGAGAGGTGATGGTAAATTGAGCCATCTTAAAATCCAGCAGAGTTTTGAGAGGTGGCTTTCCTTGTTAATACTGAAATTTGTACTTTAGCAGGCTGAAATTAAGCAGTTGGTTTCCCCGTGATTATAAAACAATCTCTGCGCTGGTATTAGCCTCATGCTTGAGTAAAACAAAAGCTTAACTACCAGATAATTTTGCAAAAATAAGTGCAGTTTAGATTTTTGAAGACATTCTGAAAAGCTATTCATAAACTGTGTCCAAGGGCTGTATTTTAATAACTCAATTTTTAGACTGAGGACTGAAAAGGAGTGTAAGTCTGTTATTTGTGCATTTATCGAATATGTCTGGGAAAATCGATATTCTACTGGTGGCTTAAAAAAAAGTTGAGGGAACTCACTTGAGAGAACTTAGTGGAAAAACATTAAGAGAAATTGTTATTTCTCTGTCAGGTTCATTGATGGAGAAGATGAGAAGGCAAAAAATTTTCCCTGGAAACAGGAGGAACTTTGTTTCAGTTTTTCACTGGGAAAGTTGAACAATCCACTGAATAAATGGTGTGAGCCTGATTTTAAGGCATGATGTTACTCATTCAGCAGCTGGAAAAATAGTCCAGTAACCTACAGTATCCATTTTGATAGCAAAATATTACACAGTGGATTTATTACTCGCGCTCATTTCCTTTTATGTATTGTAAGTGATGCGTCATTCTCCATTTTTGAAACAAATTCCTACCATTGAGTGCTATTTGGAAAGTAGCTGCACATGGCACAAGCTGAAAGCCTTATTCCCGTTTTAAGAAAACGTTATACATCAGGAATGACTTTTGTAATGATTATGAATCCAGAAGAAGGGGAGATGTATGTAGATGTCCATGTATTTGGTTTTTTACATTTTCTAGCATGTACCAACCAATAAGTTTCTTTCTTACTGGAATGTAGAAGTTAGGAAGCAGTCTAAGCAACTCACTGTTGAATTACAGTTCAATTTAACTTCTGTGTAACTGTCTTTTCTCCCATTTCTGAAAAAAAGCAAGTATATAAGGGTGTCCTGCCATGAATTTGGTATAGGATAAAAGATAATTTGTCAGGACAATAATTTCTTCTTGCATCCTCAAATCCCTGAGTTAT